GATTAGCACAGGACAGAGCAGAGTTTAGAGCTGTTGTACAAATGGTCGCCATGAGTCACAAGCGACTCAAAGGCACATAACAACAACAACTAGTTCATTTACAAAATTCAAACACAGATTTGAACAAATTCTTTCAATTTCCCTCACCCACCCACCATCAAATTGTACAACCTAATGATTAATCCCCCCCTTTCTGCACTTCCACATCTCTCTGCTTCCAGCCTCTCCCACCCCTCCTGGATCCTTATATTGATTCTATAATAATGGTTTTATACAATATTTATCCTTGTGGGACTGAGTTAGTTCACTCAGCATAATACTCTCTAGTCCCTTCCAAGTTGGATAATAATTTACAAAGTTATTGCTCCTGCGTGCTCCATAGTATTCCATTGTGTGAATGTACCATAATTTCTCAATCCATTCCTTTGTTTTTGGACATTTTCAAAAGGGTATCTTAATAGAGACTGATTTAATCTGATTACAGCCTAGTCCTGTAGTTTATATATTGTCTCGTTGACATAATTCTTGCTAATCTCGCTAATAGAAGTTAGGATTTACAACACATTGGGTAATTATGTCAGATCACAAAATATAATACTGAAAATCAGGACCCAGCCAAGTTGGCTTTTATGTAACAAGGTTAGGGAGGGCAGGCAAGTGATTTAATTCTTAATTATGTATATGTGTGTGTGTATACGTATTATATATATGGATATTGTTGTTACTGTTGTGTGTTGTTGAGTCACCTGCAACCCATAGCAAGTTACTCTATCAATTAATCTTATTCTGGGTCATTCTCTTCATGTCCCTCCATCCTTCCAAAGATTTGTCCCTTCTGTCCATGTGCCAAAAGTATGTGAGACAGAGTTTCAAAATCCTAGCCTACAAGGAGAAACTTGGTTTCACCCTCTTCAGGACAGACCTATTTGTTTTCTTGGAAGTCCATGGTATGTTCAAGACTCTTCTCCAGTGTGCATATTTTCATTTAAGCTAAGCTATATCATCATGCTTTAATATAGTGAATTAAATAAGATTTGTATTACTGGATCTATAGTATACTTTTTTTAAAAAATAAAAAGATAACAAAAGAAAATTTATTATAATTGTTCTCCAGTCTCATTTAATTAAAAAATTCTCTAGGAAAAATGATGATCTAGATATAGAACACTCACATATCTGAAAACAACCTATTTCACCTCAACCCTCATTCTCTTCATGTCCTACCATATTTGTTTTTGTTATTGTTAGGTACCTTCAAGTTGAGTATGATTCATAGTGACTGTATTAAAAACAGATCTGAACATTGTTCTATCGTATACCATGCTTACAATCTCTGACAAACCTACCGTATTAGAATGTACATTAATTTATCTGGAAAAAAAGAAAACCCTAAGAATGTTTTTAAAGACCCCCTGGTAACATAATGATCATCTCTGGTGGCATAGTATGTTATAAATTGTGCTGCTTAGGGCAAGGTAACAGTTTTAATCTACGAGCTGCTTTGAGAAAGAAAGATGGGCAGTTTCCTCCTGTTAAGATTTGCAACCTTGGAAGCTCAATTGAAGATTGCCATTTGTTGGACTTGAGGGCAGTGGATTTGGTTGGTTTTCCAAGCATTAAAGTTAATTGCTTGTCTGCTTACTGACAGGTGGGCAGTTTAAACTTACCTGGAACCTGGTGATGTAAACTCTAGGGTATTGCACTGCTAACCAATGATGGCACCTCTCTCATGCTTGGAATTCACTAGCAACTCCATAGGAGAAAGAACAGCAATCTCCTCATACTTGATTTACAGCCACAGAAAACTCCCTATGACGGTTAGCGATGATGAGCTGGCTCTGGCTCAGCAGTGGTGAGAGGGTTTATTGGGCTTTGTTTGTTTTGTCTTTGTTAACAAGATTCTTCAGGAGAAAGACATGGCCATCTGCTTCCATAACAATTACAACCTAAGAAGTGCTGTGGGGAGGGACCAACCCCCCACATCACTTATGGCCCTCTATGAGTTGAAATTGGAGAAAGGGCATCTAATAACTATAAAAAAAAAGATGTTTTAATACTAGTGTTTTAAACATACATGTTCAATACTTAAGCAGACATTCTTTAAAATTAAACTTGGAGACCCAGCTAATCCAAATGTCTCTATTTTTATATGTGTTTTCCATTTTAATTTTCAGTGGCCCATTTTAGCTTGTCATACATCATCTTCATATTTTGACTCGTTTTTATGAACCATTTTTATTAGTAATATTAACTCTCTGCCGCTGAATTAGTTCCAACTCATAGCAACCCTCTCGAGTTTTCTATGCTATAAACCTTTGCAGGAAGAAACTCCATTGTTCTCCCTTGGAGGGCCTGGTGAACTTGAACTCTAGTAACCCAAAACTTTATGCCCTTTGCCTCCATGGCTTCTTCTGCACTATATTAGAGAACTAAATGGCATGAAAGAAGATGATTTAAATTCATTTTTTTTATTTATTAATTCTCATTTCTATAAAGTTAATACAAAAATACTCATAATCATATAGTATATGTGTGTATTTTGTAAGTCAGGAGAAAGAATGTCATTAGTAAGAAGGAAAAGCATTTCAGAGAAAGAAAGATTATATAACAGATCAATCTTTGGTATTTTGCTCTATTTTCCTTAGTTTACCATCACATTGGTAGTTTTTTATGTTTTTTTTCACATATTAGATTATTCTTCATTTGTTTTTTTTTTTCCATGTAGGATATACATAAAAATTCTAATAGAACATACATAAAGTCATTTATAAGTATAATTTACTAGGAATATATTGTAGAAGAAGCAATATCTAGTCTGTTTCAACCCAGTTTAAATGTAATATGTATTATAAAATGTATATTTCATCTCAACCTACAGCTTATAGAATTCAACCAAAATTCTTTTCTTTTTCTACAGCCTACTAAAAACATTGCAATAACCGTGTGAACTTACATACTTCTCAATAAATAGCATCTGACTTTATATATAGGTTGTGTCTCTCCTTGATTTTTAATCCTCTGTAAAAAATAAGTAATTGAAATTAAGCATCTTAAACTCTTGTTTTTAGATTGCATTAAGGGTGTGTTTCAGTCCATTAAGTCAATGAAACATCGAAATAAAGTTGAAAATTCATCTGTAAAGACAACCTTGTGCCTCGGGGTCTATGATCAGTGGATGGCCTTACACAATAGAATGAATAATGGACCCAGTCTCCACTCTCATTTTCTCTTTTCATGGATATGTAACTTTAATTGTAATAGTTTCCATCCTAGCTAAGGAGAATTTGGTTTGATATTTTATTGAATTGTCATATCATGTCACTCCTGGTTTTTTTCTTTTTTTTCACTCCTGGTTTTTGTTTGGCTCATAGTCATAATGAACTAAACATGCATTGGCCTCCGTCTATTAAATTATTTTTTTCAGGAAAGAGCACTTCTTATTATGTGACTGTAGTTTATATGAACGAATAATCTCATTGCTTCTCACTTGACTGCATTAATGTCTATTATTCAGTATGCTTCAGTTGGCATCTTTAAATGTGTTGACTTCATCACTATATGTTTCTTTGTCTGCTGATAGCCCAAGTTCTTGTTGTCTAGGTCTGTTTGAAGTTTATTGTGGGATAGCAGCAAAGTTCTGGCTGTGTGGTTTTGGAATTTCTAAAGCCAAGAGAGTGAAGGTCAGTAGAGGCCCACAGGACCTTCACTGCTGTTATGTTTTAAATAAGTTCTGCCCATTGTTATGCAGTGTCTAAGTGAGGCAGCCGAGACTTTAGAGAGTGTTGAATCCATGCCAGATGAGAACATGCCATTGCCTCTACCAGAGGGTATTGTCCTTCCCCAAACAAGTTACTTCCCAAAACAAAAATACTATGTCTGCCACCATACAAAGTATTTCTTAGAGAGTACTGAGTTTCAGATTAAAGTCATTAGAAAATCAAATTGATTAAAGATGCATAGAGTTTCAGAGCCAGTTAGGGTAATTGCTATCACTAATCTGTACACTTATGAAAAATTAAGCTGACAAGAGTTGTGTGAGAGATATATTTACAACTAAAAACAAAGGACAAAATAAAATGTAGGAGAGTAGTTTCTGAGGCTGTTTATAGTCAACCAGACTTGACTCTTTCATTTGGAAATTTAGAGTTATGATTTCATAGGAAATTAAGATTAATTAACCTAAAAAAATAATGATTAACACTCTGCCCTACCTGTGGCACCAGCGATTCAAGTGCTTGCACAGCAATGGATCCCAATTCTTCTGGAGCAATACAGAAAACAGAATGGTCAGAAATGTCATTTATTGTATACTATCAGTCAGAACGGACAAAGAGCAGGCCCTGTAGTGCGTTTTCAGAGATAGGAAAAACGATGATCAGGAATAGGAGAAGCAAGGCTTTACTAATTTTCCCCTTGAACCACTGCCTCTTTTGCTTCAAGACTGGAACGGCATAGTTTTCAGGTACCATTACTGAGTATTTTGATCAAAAATTCTGTAGAATTGTATAGAATGGTATAGAGACTTTCTAGAGCCAGGACGCCTGAAACTGTTGCACTAAAAACTGAAAATAATGTCTGAAATTAACAGTAGTTTAACTAATACAATATACCTACCTTGAACATTTATAGAAATTTAAGACTTATCTGTTGAAGCTCAACATCAAGAAAACAAAGATTCTCCCCATTGGACCTGTTGGCAACACCATAATAGATAGGGATGAGATTGAGATTGTTAGCAATTTTAGCTTGCTTGGGTCCACAATCAACAGTCTTGACACCAGCAGTCAAGGAATCAAAAGAGTTGCATTAGGAACATCTGGTATCAGAGTCCTCTCCAGAGTGCTGCAGAGCAATGATGTCGGTCTAGAGACTAAGGTGTGCCTGATACATTCCATGATCTTTGAAATTATTTGCTATGCATTAAAGAGCTGGAAAATGATCAGATATGACAGAAGAATTGATGTCTTTGAGTAATGGTGCTGGATAACAGTATTTAACGTACCGTGGACTGCCAAGAGAACAAGGTGAAACCAATCTGCTCCTAGGAAGCAAGGATTTTGAAGCTCCATATGACATGCTTTGGGCATGTTGCCAGGAGGGACTAATACTTAGAGAAGGATATTATGTTTGGAAGGGTGAAGAGATAGAAGAGGAAGACTCTTGATGAGATAGATTGATACAGTGACTAGGACAATGAGGACAGGTGAGATTGGCTCAGGATAGAATAGGGTTTGGAGCTATTGTGTATAGGGTGACTGACTCAGTGGAACATAACAACAACATATGAGTTTAAACTTAAAATAGTTCAAAAGGTTATATAGAAAAATTAGGAGCAATGTTGATATACCTTGTTGAGGTGGTATACTTTGTTGATGCAGTCAAAAAGAGGTTGTACTGCTAACTCATAGGCAGAACCTTTCTGTCAGTTATAATCTCTTGATGGCTCCATGGGAGAAAAATAGGTAATATCTTCCTGTGTGATTTACAGCCTCAGAAACTTGATGGCAATTAATAGAGAGGCTAAACTAAGGAAGGTCAACTCAGGAAAGGAATGTGAGAATCATACACCTTGAAGAAGGTAATGAATGCCACTGATTTGTGGGCCACCACTGAGTTGGTGTATGTCCTGTATATAGTTCCCTCAACAACATAAGTAAAATGAATCAAGTTGTTTTTGTTTTTTAAAAGGAAATCCACAAGAAATCTCTTTAGGTCTCACCTGAAGTACCTCAAACCAGCAAGTAAATATTATGACAAATGGAGGGGTGAAAGTAATTTATGGCGGGCCTGGCCTTAACAAGTAAACAAGATTAATTTCTAGCTACTTGGAGAGACAGTACTTGAAATATATTAGACGTTGGGATTTGCCTATAAATGCTAGCATAAATACATGTATAATTAAAATAAGAACTAAAGTTAGTCCTGTACATTTTTAGAATATGAATAAATATGTTAAATAATTTTACTGTTCCTCTTGAGAAAGTAACATTCTAAGCCCAAATATTATGCAAAAATGTAGTTAAGAGTTAAAAATAAGAATAACATTATAGTTGGTCTAGCTGCAAAAAGAATTAGACTATTTTTCTTTAATAAGTATCTTGAATTTTAACACCATAGAACATATACATACATGTCCTTCACTTTTTAAGGTTTTAAGATTGCTTTGTAACTTTTATGAAAGACCTACATAACGTACCTGCCTTCACAAACCAAAAGTGAGATGATGATTCTCACTTTTTAAAGAAAAACGGAAAAGCAAAACTGATGTTGAGCATTTGTTTTGCAGCAAGCCCCAAGTAGTAAGAGCGGTGCTGCCGTACTCCTTCCTGGGAATTGAGTCAACTAGGAAGACAGCAAACCGCCATAAACTGTGTACCATGCCTGTTAACTATATGCTAAGGTCAATTTAGGTTACATGTGTTATTTTTTATGATTTGGTAGGTTATTTTTTGGATTTTGAAATGTTAAAATATTTCTCCCATATAAATAAATGACACTTGCCTTTCCTTTATGCCATTTCCTCGTATGAAAAGTTTCATAATGAGTGCTCTTATTTTCATAAGTGGTGAAAAACTGTATTGTGGTTTAATAGTAATAATAATAAAGTCTAAATGCTTTTATACAGTATAAAAATAACTCAAAAATATTGACAGGAAGAGACTTTTAATTACTAGAATATTTTCTGTAAGCATTCTAAAAAATTGTCTTTTTTACAACAGTAGAAAAACACTCTAGGATTATTTTGAGCTTCATGTTTGTTTTTGCCCTTCTTGTAATTACAGTTCATTGATGAATTTCGCTTTAATTTGTTTCATAGGCCGCCGACACTTTCATGCATCTCAGTGCCCTCGACCCACAAGTCCTGTGTCTACAGACAGCAACATGAGTGCTGCCGTCATGCAGAAGGCCAGACCTGCCAAGAAACAAAAACACCAGCCAGGACATCTGCGCAGAGAAGCCTACACAGATGGTAAGCCCATTGAAACGCATGAAAACGTCTATGAATCTTGCCTGTTCCTCCTGGCTCTTTATAACTAGATGATGCGTCCACTGACATTAGAAATTCATTACTCACACTAGTGATTAATTTCTATGTCTTGTCAAGAATCTCTACTCCACGCAACTTTCTGACAGTGAGATTATTTAGTAAACCAAAATCATGTATAGATATAGTATATTCAAAAGCCTGTTTTATAGTTCTATATAAATAGACATTGCAACAGTTTGAAGTGATGATGCAGTAAATCTTTATCAGATTTACTGATAAATCATCCATAGTCTTCTCATTTTCTCCTCCTGTAAATTTTACATGCAAATAAAAGGTAATAAAACCACCTGAATATTAATTCTAACTACAGTGATGTTTCATATAGTTGTTCTGTGCATCAAAAGGCAAATAGAATCTTCATCTTCATGCCTTCATAAGTGAAACTGACTCTCACTGCAGAGGTAATGCTTGTATTCTCCAGGGAGTTTAAGAGGATAATACAAACATTGCGGTGTCATCTAGAGAAAGCCTTTAGTGAAATTGCCTCAGGTGGCCCAGCATTTATTAAACTGTTACCTTATCACTTCAAATAAACAAAACACAACCTGAAGAACTTTATTGGAAATTCACATAAGATAAATTCCCTCAGATGCACCCATCTTGTGGAGTTGGCTAAATTTACTAAAGGGGTGGGGAAAGAAGGGTGTCACAACCATCTTCCTGTACCTCCTGGTCCTCTGTAACCACAATCTGATTAGGACTTTCATTACCAGTCAGCAATTTTTCAAAAAGGGCATTATTTCCCATTATCATATGAAAGCCTAATATTATAGATCGTTATCCAAGGTTACAAGGAGGGTTTTCTGAGGCACTTCTCCCTGTGATTCCTGCCACTTGACAGAAAAATTTAATACAAAGCTCACAGCATGATGAGCACAAGTAATTTTGCAATGAGTGGCTGCCCATGCTATTATCTGTACTTTATTCTGAGTATTTTCTCTCGGTAGCATCTATCTGATATTAGACTGCATTAAAAACTGGCAGGACACAGTGCACCTGGGCCTCTTGGCTTGGGCCCAGGACTCTTTTGTCAGTGAAACTGAGCTGTCAGAATATTATCTGATTTTGAAGGGTTATTACAGTGGCTTTGTGTATGTTTGCTTCCGTGAAGGGACAAACATGAGGTGTAAATTTCCAAACTCTACTGCAATTTTACATCTCTGGCATCTCTGTAATGGCATTCTACAAGTTTTATAGCCATTTTATCAATTTTTATTATCTAGAAGAGAGTACTCCTGACAGAGGAGAGTGTCAGAGGCAGTAACTGACCCAACATCATACCTTGGTGTAAACACATCTAGCTTGAATACGTAAGGGAGAAAATGTGGCCTGATGCTTGTATGTAGCTCATTCCTCCTTTTATTTATGCTTGCTTTCTGGGATCCTGGCATTGAGTGACGCTTTTTAGAAGTGATTTAAATAATGTAAACATGCCAGGTTAAACAACCTAACACCACAGATACAAAGTACACTTCGTGTTATAATGTGCTCTACACTTACTATCCCATGTTTTGTAGCATGTACTAAAGTCATTGTGCTCAAGAATTAAATATAATCTCAAACTCATTCCTGAATAGTAACTGTGAAACTAAGTGATAAAGCACTGAAGCTGTTTTTAATGAATTTAATAATAACAAATAATATACTGGAATAGATGTAAAGCCAAAAGATAATTTGAATTGATTATAAGTCATATTATTTGACTTTCTAATTGCTCCTTGCACCAACTGAACATGCACAGTTTTCTTAGTACAGACTGTGATATAGAAGGTAATAATTATTTTCTCTCTGTCACAGAAGTAAAGTGGCTAAATTATTAAATATTTCTTTTTTCATTGTTACTTTAACTTCCCTGGGTAATCTTTTAACCAGCTTTTTGCACTATACAGTCTTAAATTTAATGCTGTTGTTTAAGCATGAGAGGAAAAAAATAGCAAAAGTATTTGTTATTTTCTACGTATCTGGTAATGCATAGTAATTGGTTAAAAATCATGTAAATGTAGACAATTTTAAATGCTCCAAATAAAATCAATGTGTATGTTGTTGTTATGTGCTGTCAAATTGCTTGCAACTCATAGTGACCCTCTGTATAATAGCCCTGAACCTTGCTCTATTTTGAGCCAACTTCATTGTCTCTGACACACCTATCCCATTATCCCAGTCACTGAGTCAATCCATCTCATCCAGGGTATTCCTCTCTTGCACTGTCTCTTCACCCATCCTAGTTTGATGTCCTTCTCCAAGGACTGGTTCCTCCTTGCAATAGGTCCAAAGTGTATCAGACAATGCTTGAAAATCCTTGCCTCCAAGGAGCAGCCTGGTTTTACCCTCTTCAGGATGGACCTGTTTGTTCTCCTAGCAGTCTATGGTAGGAGTTATGGTAGTCTATTCAGTACTCTACAGCACCACAACTCAACAGCATCAATTATTCTTATATCATTCTTAGTCATTGTCTAGCTTTCTGATGCATAGCAAGTAACTGTGAAAACCATGGCCTGGATCAGCTGCACCTTAGTCTCCAGACTTATATTATTGTTTTCAATTACTCTCAAGAGGTTTATTTTCTGAATTGGAACCAAAAGTTATATTCTCAGAAATTATTTTCCTAAATATTTATACTTCATTTTTTTTAGTAAATACTCAGAGGACATTTTTTACAAAACTGAATGGCATAAATAATATATATAATTTCTTAAAAAAAGGATAGAAGAAAAAAGTTTAAAAACTTAGTATTAATATGTGAATTAAGCATATGAATAACACATTGAGGGATCATTGTCTTTTAATGGAAAAATATTTTAAACTGCAGTAGATAATTGATATTTTTTCCCAGTAGATTGTGTGAGCTAAGTTCAAAACATATCAGTCTGCATTTTGTAGTGTCTTTGCCTCATACATTTTGTTCACATGTAAGATCTTTGTCACAGATTGTTTGGACTATGTAAAGAAGGATAAAGAGTGGCTATGTCTGAACTCATGTTATCATGTTCAGAGGTGCCAGTGTTTGGAAAAGATAACATGCTGAGAAAAGTAGAGAGTCATTGAAAGATGAAGACTTTTAACGTGAGGCTCAACACGGTGAATTGATAAAGGAACTGCAGCAGTGGACTTGAGCATGGGAAAGACCATGAGGACGGTACAGGATAGGCATGGTTTCAATCTGCTATTCATAGGGCCGCTATGAGCTGGAATTCACTTGACAGCACATAGCAATAATAATATGTCTGAACTAATGAAGAATAATTTAATATGATTCCTGTGAGTCATATCATTATCCAGGACATCCTGACATGTCTTATTTGGTAAATAAACCCTTAACCTCTGAAACATCCATGGAGGAATCAGAGTAAAACAGTGTTTTGTGGTGGTTTTTTTGGGGTGGTTGTTTTTTTATTTTTCTGTAGTTATGATGACAAGCAGAATCTTAAGTTTTTATTATTTAAAAAAAAGTATAACTGCAGCATTCCAGACTAACGCACATGGATAGAATTAAAATACATGAATATTTATTAGTCAGCATTTTATCAAGTTAAAGCCAAGCATAAGTGCATTTCTAGGGCCTTCTAATAGATTCTTCCCACCCCCTCTTTTCAGCCATTCTGATACATTTACATACTTGATTTAAAAACCAAATCTACATTATTTCTTCAGTCCTACTTTTCATAAATTATAAATTCACCAAGCTCTATGGAGTGATGATATTTTGACTTCATTTATCATTAATTACTAGGTCTTGGGACGTTAAGCATTCAGATAAATAGAGTGCTATATCTCTGTAGTAAGTTAACAATATCAGTGAAATTGTCTGCATGCACATGTTCTTATGACTTACTTTATATGCATTATACTGTTATTTGGAAATTGTTATATAACTAATGGGTGCTTATATGATTATATAAAGAGACAGTATATGTGTGTGTGTGTGTGTGTGTGTGTGTGTGTGTGTGTGTGTGTATGTATTCCAAATTCTTGCTTTTAAATCCAGTTTATGTTGTTATGATTGTAGACTAGAAAGCAATACTAATTATCAGTATATAAACTATAAAATTACTTATGCTATTATAATCCCTATCTTGATTCAGAAATTATTTTGTAATACATAGACTGTATATTGTTGTTGTTGTTATTGTTATGTGTCATTAAGTTGTTTGTGACTCATAGCAACCCTATGCACAGCAGCTCTCAATCCTGCTCTGTCTCAAGCCCATTTCATCATCACCAACACTTCTGCCCTCATTACCCCAGTCACTGAGTCCATCTCATCAAGGATCTTCCTCTCTTGTGTTGTCCCTCCACCCTTCTAAGTATGTTGTCCCTCTCCAAGGACTTGTCCCACCTTGCAACATGCCCAAAGTATGTGAGATGGAGCTTCAAAATCCTTGTCTCCAAGAAGCAGCCTGTTTTCACCCTCTCCAGGACAGACCTTTTTGTTCTCTTAGCAGCTCATGATATGCTCAATACTCTTCTCCAGCACCACAGCTTAAGGGCATCAGTTTTCCTTCTGCCATCCTTAGTCATTGTCTCTATGCTCTTTAATGCATAGAAAATAATTGTGAAGACCATGGCCTGTACCACATGCACTTTTGCACGTTGCTCTTTAGCACTCTGGAGAGGTTCCTAGCAGATTTTCCCTATGCAATTCATCTTTTGATTTCCTGGCTACTGCTACCAAGATTTTTAATTGTGGGGCCAAGCAAGTTGATGCTGTTAACAATTTCAATCTCTTTATCTATCTATCTATCTATCTATCTATCTATCTATCTATCTATCTATCTATCTATCATGATGCTGCCAATTGTCCTAGAGGTAGATTCAAACCATGTGTCTAAGGGTTGGCAGTGCAGCTTCTTACCATTAGACCACCAGAGCTCCCTTTTTATCAGTATATGAAAAATAAATTTGCTTATGCTATTATAATCCTT